CTTTGATCTTCCTCTCTCCATTAATGCTTCAGAATTGTTCCTTTCTTGTCTATCAAGATTTCAAACTTCATGATTCATCACAACACTTGAGATCTCATCAAATTTAATAGTTTCTTTACCATAAATCCATATCGTGAATGATTAATAGGATTTAGGCAAAAAATTCATCAAGATCAAAGCTTTGTCTTCATCCTTGATCGTCTCTTCTAAGTTCAACAATTCAGCAATCATCTTGTTAAACTAAGATCAATCATCTTTGTTCCTTCCTTATACTAGAAACGATAAAGCTTACTCTTAAGATAAAGCCTATTTTCTGCACTCTTTTTCAAATATTTGGACTCCAGTGTATCCCATAATTCCTTGACTGATGAAATATTCATCACACCATACTTTTGTGCCTTGCTAAGACATAACCGAATTGTGGAACATGCATGCACATTCAGCTGCTACCATTCATCATTCTTCATCGACATAGACATATCTCCAAGCACAACAAGTAATCATTGTTGTATCAACACATCCTTAACTTCACACTACCACATAGCGAAGTTATTGGTCCCGACGAACTTCTTCATCTCGAACTTAGCACTTTGCACCTCGATTTTGGTTACCTCAATGCCCACATCATCTCCACTCTTGCTGGAGTCTTCAGGTTTTGTCATTGTTTTGGCTTAATCACCGAACCTTGCTCTTGATACCACTTGCTGTACTTTTATGCGCAAACAGAAGCGAATTATAACAAAGTACCAAATATTAATGTCGTGGGTGAAAGCTAAAACAAACAATCTCAAACTAACATAAGAGATTTACGTGGTTCGGCTTAAAGCCTACTCCACGGGCGAAGCACGGCAAGGAATTTCACTAAACAAACAGAGATTACAAAAGAATGTTTAAACTCTCACAACCCAAATCCCACAAATTACAAACCCTAAACCAAACAAGTAGAGAACCCAAAACTAACGGAGAAGATTCTCCCAAATTGCTTTCTAACTCACAAACTCACAAATTGACTCTCACCAAATTGTCACACAAATGAGCCACACAAAATACACTAACCCTAAGGTCCTATTTATAGTGCATAGGACTTAGGTTACAATAAGAATCCTAATAGGAAGCAAATCCAAATCCTAATCAAATAGGTATTTAACAAAATCTTTCCACCAAGGAAACCAACTAAGAAGTCAAAATCCAAACCCTAATAGGACACCACAACCAAATAAGTAACACAAACCTAATTTTTAAATATCCTAATTTTGAGTCATAAAACCCAACAATCTCCACCTCGGCGAGAAATTAGCAAACTTCCAAATTTGGGATACCAAAATACAAACGCAAACGTGTACCAAATTCTTTTGAAAATGATCTCCACCTAGAATAAAAAAATCCAAAAGTCTTCAAACTTGAAATTTCCTCCAACACCTTCTCCAACAAATTCCATTATGGAAACTAACAAATACAAAACAAAATCCAAGCAAAAGCTTGAACATAAGAACAAAAAGTGCGAATTGGACTCCACCCAAAGAGCTTGAGTACCAAGCTCCACCTCATCACATAACATTTAGAGGAGTTCAGAACAACGATCTTCTGCAATGTTTACGTCAACACTAGCAAAAAACTTATCAAACGACTTCTTTTTTCTTCATCACTCCACGAATTCGGCAAAGCCTTCACACGTTTTAGCATTTTCAATAGCCCTTGTTGAACTAATAAAGCATGCATCTTCAATTGCCAAATACCAAAATCATTGTTATCGAACTTTTCAATATCAACTTTCACCGATGACATAAAACGTTTCATGGTGATTGCCAAGTAAAGCCCAAGCCGAAACCTGGGCTCTGATACCACTTGTTGTAACACAACCAAGATGATTAAACTAAGAACAACCACACACAGATATGAACAATGGAAGCTTGCTTTATTAACTAATAAAGGATTACAAAAGAACTCACAAACTCTCACACAGTAGTTCTCTTGCCTTCAGAGCCAACCTTGAGATTTCAGAGGCCCTGTGCGAAAATGAATTGGAGGCCCTAAAAAGTACTAAGAATTTATTTTTTTTTTACATTTTTTTGTTCAAAATAATAATTTTAGTTTTCAATTGAGCTTTTATTAATTCTAATAGCATAAACAAATTTAACAAATCAACAAGTGGAAATGTGGCGTATTGTTTTTCCTTAACTATTTAGAGGGTTAGGGTTCGAATTTGTATGTTGTTATGTGGAATTTTTATATTATTTTTTGGAAGCTTAGCACAAACAAATTTAACAAATCAACAAGTGAAAATGTGGCGTATTGTTTTTCCTTAACTATTTAGAGGGTTAGGGTTCGAATTTGTATGTTATTGTGTGGAATTTTTATATTATTTTGTGGAAGCTTATACATTTAATAAAAATATAAACTGAAAAAATGAAGGAGATGAGTTTCAAACCCAAGCTTATGCATTTAATACAAATATAAACTGAAAACATGATGGAGATGAGTTTCGAACCCATCCCCTAAGCCGATGTAACGAAGCAATAATTCCACTTGCACTAAGACTCAAATTTGTAATATTTTATACATACTACTAATATAAGTAAATGCATGCAAAATTGAAAAATCGGGGGCCCTTCCGATTTGGGGGCCCTGTGAGGTAGCAAAAATTGCACCCCCTCAGCACCGGCCCTACCTGCCTTACAATTCTCTCTCAATTCACACATACCCTAACGTTAAGGCTCTCACATATTTATACTAGATAACCTAGCAAAACCTACTCCTAAACTAATTTAGAAATCCCAAAACCAACAGGAAACTTGCTTCCAAGTCTCCTACACATATTATAACTTGGATTCCTATTTTAGATAGGAATACAAAACTCATTTCAGACCAATTCCAACAACAAGATGATACTCCATGCAAGGTAGTAAAATTTCACCAATACATGCAAGTCCCTGGACTAATGAAATGAAAGATTTTTAGTTCAGAATACGAGACGGTTTGTGACCTATTATTATACAAATAGAGAAAATGTCTATTTTAAGTGTTTCTTCAATATATAATGCATATGATGTACTGATATGTGTTTCATACACCTTCAAAACCTGACTACTGCCACGTATCACTCGCATGCATTTCAGCCAAGTGTAAACCCTAATTGCAAACACTCATTAACCTCGTAGGCTCATCTCTCACTTTCTCTCTCTTACAGAAAGTAGTGATCAAATTATCTCACGGGCAAGCAGTTCTGTGTGTAATTATTCTACAATTTTTATATATATGCACGACGTCGTCTCGTGGAATGCAGAGGTACTACAGCTGGTTAATATTTGGTTGAAGACTGAGAAATGGAGGTATGAGTGTATGACTTTGCAAGAAACTTGGAGCATGCGCAAATGATACCAGTCTCAGTCTATGTAGAAAAAAACATGGGCTGATGAACTTGAAATGCTTAATTCAGATAGACCATTTTCTGAGAATTATATTGGGGATATTTAATTTGCATTGGGAAGATTATTGATAAGCTCGGTGCCTGCCTAATCATTTTCCTTGTCTTTCTGTTTTTTTTCCCTTTATTTTCTCAAACAGGGATGCGTAACTGGAACAATAATCTTGCTTGTGAGCAAAGGAAAGAGTTCTCACATCCTGAGATTTAATGAAGAGTTATTCTTTATATATCTCCTCCCACCTATAATATTCAATGTTAGGTAATTCAGCTTTTGTATCGATTATAATAATCCTGTTCTAATTAATTGGCTTATCGGACTAGTAGAAACTTAAAGACAAATTCACTTACCTAGCTAATTTTACGACCAACACAGATTTCAGGTCAAGAAGAAACAGATTTTCAAGAACTTCTTAACCATCATGATGTTTGGAGTGATTGGTGTTTTCATTTCCATTCCTTAACCATCATAACAGTTGGTAACAATTTAATCTGTTGTTCTTTACATATTTTATACTAGTTTTATTTCTATTCCTTTAATTCTTTTTCATCGTTTGATTTTGCATTGTGTTAGTTGTTATAGATTTCTGTAGAACTGAAAATGTATGCCTGTTATTAAGAGTACACATAGCAATGAGTTACTAGATTAGATTCTTACTTAGCTATTAAGCTTGTGATGTGTAGTCTTAGTTATTTGTATTATGCTTAGTTGGCACTTATATATGGGATAGGATATTTATGTATAATTATCTGACGTATGGTTCTATTGAAGCAATCTAAGAATCACAATTGTATTTTCCTCTCTCTACATTTCTCATTCTCTTTCTATAACTATTTTTCCTCTCTGAATTCTGAGTTTCAACATGGTATCATCACCATTGTCTAACCGACTCCGATCCACCACGTCTCTTCTTCCTGAAACTTTCTAGGGTTTTCTTGAATTTTCTTACCTCCCAAACAAATCACTGCTTCTTTGATTTCTTCATTTCTTTCCGCAATTCAGCAAATCTTAATATGTCAGCTGCTGCGAATTCCTCCAATTCTACTTCTCCATCTCCTGCAAACCTAATTCCACTACAAATCTCCCTTATAGTGACATCTTCAACCCTTCGATCATGTCGATTGGATCAATTTCCATTGCAAATGTTGCTGGAATGGTTCCGATGAAACTCAATCGTCATAACTATATCACTTGGCGCAGTCTCTTCATCCCTATCCTGAAATGCTTCAAGCTTCTTGGACTCGTTAATGGCGAGGATCAGTGTCCTCCTTAATTTGTTCGAAATTCCTCTGGTGATTGTGTGCACAATAATTCTTTTGAGACCTGGTGCGAGCGTGATCAGATTCTGACTATTTGGATCAACTTAACACTATGTGAAGACCTTCTTCATTGACGATTAACATGGAAGACTCTTGCTTTCTTTGGTAGTCTCTTGAGCGGCGTTTCTCTGGTGTTTCCCGCACTCATGTTCACAGTCTTCGATCGAAGATCCAAACGATTCAGAAAGGTGATTCTTCCATGACCGACATTCTGCATTCCATTAAAGATATCTTTGATAAACTTGCTGCTGTTAGCGAATCTTTGTTTGAATATGATCTTATGGCATACATCTTATTTGGACTTCATGATGAATATGAGTCATTTGTTGATTCTATTGAGACTTGCAATGAATATATGACTACTGATGAACTTCATGGTCTCCTATTGAGCAAAGAATTCTCACTCTAGAATTGCAAAACCAGAGCTTCTTCCTCCTCAACTGCACTATTTCATGCTTATGCTGCTTAATCCACAACTTCTAGAGTCAATTCAAACAGAGGCAACTGGAACAACAATTTTCGAAATCAAAATTGTAATCAATCTAATCAGAGTCGTAATTCTGGGGGAAACAAATCTAACAACTGGAACAACAACACTTCTAGTGGTCTTCTTAGTGGTTATTCTCACCAGAATTTTGGTCAATCATCATTCTCTGACCGTTCTGTGCAATGCCAGTTATGCCTTCAATATGGTCACTAGGCTCCAACATGTAATCGTCTCTCTCAATTTGCATTCCCCTCAGCAAATTCTTTCACTCAAGCTCCTACAGCAATGTCTGCCATGACTTCTTCTGCACCTCTTAGCTATTGGCTTACTGATAGCGGTCCATCTCATCATGTCACACCTGATCCCTCCACACTCAACTCTGCCATTCCTTATGCTGAAAGTGATCAACTTTTTGTTGGAGATGGAAAAGGTATGTGTATCTCTCATACTGGTTCTGTTATCATTCGTACAAAAAATGCCTCTTTTCGATTGAATGATGTTTTTTTAGTTCCTCAAGCTTCCCATAACTTGTTATCTGTTTACAAGTTTGTCTATGACAATTGGTGTTCCTTGACATTTGATCCTTTTGGGTTATATGTCAAGGACATAAGAACGAGAAGATGCTTTTCTAAGGCCCTGGTGAATGAGGCTTGTACCCCTTTTACTAGAAGGCTTCTAATGGTGTTTTTGGAATTGCAATCTCTCCAACAGCTCTGATGATTGCTAAGACTGACATTCATATCTGGCATCGAAGAGTTGGACATTCTTCTAGGGGAGTTTTACATTCTGTTGTCAATAAGAATAATCTCCCTGTAATTAGGTCTGTTAATAACTTGTCAATGTGCACTGCATGTCAATTGGGGAAAGCTTTTAGGCTCCCATTTTCAACTTTACCTTGTACTTCCACTAGACCACTTTAGCTTATTCACACTGATGTATGGGGTCCCTCTCCCATCTCTTCTTGTACTGGTTATAGATTCTATCTAATAATAGTGGATGATTATACTAAATATAGTTGGCTTTATCCCCTATATTTCAAGTCAGATGTATTCTCTACCCTCAAGACATTTCTTTTAAAGATTCAAACTCTTCTTGACTTCAAATTTCAAAGTATAAGGTCGGATTCAGGGGGGTGAATTCTTGAATAAGTCACTCCAAGGTTTTCTTAATGATCAAGGCATCACCCATCAGTTGAGTTGTCCTCACACTCATGAGCAAAATGGGTGTGTCGAGAGAAAGCATAGACATGTTGTTGAAATGGGTAGAGCACTGTTATCTCAAAGTGGTTTACCTGCAAAATTTTGGGTTGAAGCTTTTCAAATTGCCATTTATCTCATTAATCGGTTGCTTTCTCAGTCTTCAATGGTCAGTCCTTGGGAACTTGTGTTTCATGCTTCTCCTAAGTATCACACACTGAAGATTTTTGGATGTGCTTGCTATCCATGGTTACAGCCTTATTCGAGTGACAAATTGGACTCAAAGAGTAAACAATGTGTTTTTATGGGTTACAACTTGAATCATAGTGGCTATATAGGTGCTTAGATCCTATCACCAATAGACTATACATCTCAAGACATGTTATGTTTGATAAGTCTTTATTTCCTTACAAGCATATTTCTACTTTGGTTTCATCTCCACAACCATGTTCACAGCAGCAATCCAATCCTTATATCTCTCTTTCTCTTCCACTGTCAGTGTTACATTATAAGAAACAACCAGAACCTGCAGCTTCCAATTCTGAGCAACAGACATCTTCAGCTATATCTTCTAGCACAGAACCATCTCCTACTGCTTTATCTCCATCAGACTCATCTCAGTCATCATCCTCTCATCCTCCCACTCTTGTCAATAATCATCCCATGATTACAAGAGCAAAGGCAGGTATTCATAAACCCAAGGTGTTCACTGCTACTAAACATCAACTCTCATCTTCAATTGATTCTGTTACCAAGTTGCCCCATACTCCATCGACTTTTCTTCAAACATCTAAGCACTTTAATTGGATGGAAGCTATGCAATCTGAATTTCAAGCTTTGCAGTCTACTGGAACTTGGGAATTGGTTCCTAATAATTCCAATTATAACCTTATAGGCTGCAAATGGGTTTTTTAAGTTAAACATAAACCAGATAGCACTATTGAAAGGTATAAGGCAAGACTTGTTGCCAAGGGGTTTCATCAACAAGAAGGCTTGGACTTCTCATAAACCTATAGTCCAGTTGCAAAGCCTACTACTATTAGGATCTTACTCTCCATTGCTGTTAACTATGATTAGTTTATACATTAATTGGATGTCAGTAATGCCTTCCTTCATGGTCATTTAAAGGAAGATGTATATATGATTCAGCCCCCTGGTTTTGTAAACTCTTCCAAACCTCATCATGTTTGCAAGCTTAAGAAATCACTCTATGGTCTTAAACAGGCTCCTAGAGCTTGGTATGAAGCTTTCTACAATGCCATTCTTTCTCTAGGATTTTAGTCCTCATATTCTGATACCAGTCTCTTTATTAAAAGGGATGCTTTCATTACTTTTATATTGGTTTATGTCGATGATATCATCACTGGAAGTTGGTAACAATTTAATCTGTTGTTCTTTACATAGTTTATACTAGTTTTATTTCGATTCCTTAATTCTTTTCCATTGTTTCATTTTGCATTGTGCTATAGATTTCTGTAAAACTAAAAATGTCTGCATGTTACTTTTAGCTTAGGCGCTTGGTGGCTGTTCTCGAAGTTGGGACTTGATGGCCTGAATGTGCGAGACTATCTCGGTTAGAATTGAGAACCTTTTCGATGAAACCATTAGCTATTTGTATCAAACGAACTGCCACATTTATGCTATGTAACAGTATAATCGTGTTGATAACTTTTGGCTTACATCAATCTTTTGTTTTGAAACAGCTGTGGGAACATTTTTTTCGTCAACTGATACAGTATGTACGTTGCAGGTTTGTCATGTTTTAGGTTTTCTTTTTCATTTAATTTGCACAAGCCGCTCATGTATTTGGATTTTCTGAGATATTATATCCACTTTATGTAGATTCTTCATCAACATGAAACTCCTTTACTGTACAGCCTAGTCTTTGAGGAATGAGTTGTGAATGATGCAACATCAGTTGTCATGTTCAATGCAGTTCAAAAGATTGACATTAATAAGCTTAAGGGCTCAATTGGATGTTGGAAATATGCACTAAAATCAATCATATGATGATACTTTACGGACATTTCACATGTTAAACTAATCTAGTTTAATATAAAGGGCAAAGATTATTGTTTGAAGCCGTCTCATATAAATGTTATATGCTTAAACGATAAGTCCAAGGAATATGTAATTGAGAGAATGTGATCTAAAAAAGTTAGATTTATGAGACCATTCTCTTTCGTATACATATCCTAAACGTTCCTGATTATAGGATTGCCAATTGGGCATTGACAGTCCGTTAAGATCAGTACGTGCTATGTCTTCTCTTAGGGAGAGTGACTAGTCTCGAGTCATTGGTGTGACTGACACCAAGACAAGCATGTAGGTGCTCAATAAAGAATGAGTCCACTGAACACGATCAACGAGGAGTTCTCATACTTATGTCACATGAGAACTCATGGTTGGGATAATGCAAAGTAGTCATTTAACCAGAGGCATCATAGTTGTCTTGTGGTTAGGTCCTTGATCTTTGACTATGTCAAAGTCACTCCATCAGAAGGTGTCCATGGCATAGTTGGGGTTAAGCCACTTAGCCATAGAGACAAGTGAATGCGCAACAAGGGATCTCTAACCTTCAAACCGTTTGAATGAGAATACTCTATGATATGATTAAGAATCTCTGGCCAGAGTATAAATGAGATTTAAGAAGTCGTTCCAAATCACATTCAAGGTAATCATATAAGTAAAAGAATCACATTGGATAGTAGACATGAATAAACTATCAAACCAAACAATGTGGTCAAGAGTATTGTATTAAAGAAAAATCGTATTGCATTGTAATACTAAACTGAATAGGTTATCCACCTCTTCTGATTAGCTTGGGTAACCATGACATACTGCTAGGTGTCACTTATGGTTTGTGGAAGCCCTAAACGTGTATAAACTCTAACGGGAGAATTGAAAATATGTTTCAATTCATAATCGATTCGAAGAGTTCTAATCGCCCACTGCCTCGCTAAAAAGAACCAAATGGATCGTACACCGTGTAAGGTAGAGATTGAAGAAACAATGGAGATGAGTAAGAATAATTAAATGGTTTAATTATTTATGGCTAGGATTAATTAATATGTTAATTAATCAAACGAATATGTTCGTTATAGACCTCGAGTTAGTTTTGGGCCGCAAGCCTAATGGGATTTGAATGTCAAGCCCATTAACTCAAGTTGTATGACAACTTGAAAACACAGAGGGCTTGAAAGCCCAATGAACCCTTAAGGCCAACCATATAGAGAAGGGTCGGGAACTTGCTTTAATTGCAAGTTTGCCACTCCATTGTGAGATGGTATAAAGACAACTTTATAGCCATTTCATCATTAGGGTTTTCTTTAAGGAAATTGGAGAGAACACAAACTCTCCATTTCTCTCTAAGAGGCCGGCCACCCTAGAGGAACATAGCTTGCAATCTTCCTTCCTCTAGGTCACTCATCTCCTCATCAATGCTCTTCTTGGTGTGGAAAAATTAGAGGCTCTCTATTTTGGGAACTTGGAGAATCCTTTCAACCATCATCCTCCAAGAAATCCATGGAGCTAAGAAGCAAGGAATGAAGGCTCTCTCCTTCGGTGATTAGCCTTTGCTTATACAAAGAGGAATCAACAAAGGTATAAGATTTCTCAACTCACCTTGTTCTTGAGTTGAGTCTTGGTTCATCCTAACTACTAGGCTTTGAATTTTATGGGTTAAGTTTTGTTTTTAAGTGCATACAAGCATGAT